CTCTGCCCTTGCTAGGTCTTCACGGTTTTTGAAGCTTGACTGCGAATCACAGAATGGTCAGGGTTGTAAGGGACCTCCGGAGATCATCTAGTCCACCCCCCCTCCCGCCCAAGCAGGGAATCAAAGAATATCTAACAAAAAGACTCGTTAAAACCCTGTGAAAGGTTCACTGTGGGGGCAGCCTGGGCTGTCTGTACCCGGTTGTAAGTCTGCGTTACGCTGTGATTGAAGTAGTCTGCTCATCGCTGAGCGTGGTCTCTGGGTAGGGAATAAGAGCTGTGTCTGAGCCGGACTCCTCCTATGGGATTCCGAAACACTTCCCAGATGAATTGCTTCCATGTTTAAATGTAACCACGTTTAGGACTGAAGCAGCAGCATCCCTGTGACTTGTAGGAGAGAAACTGACAAAACAATGTGGGATCTATGTGCAAATGAAGCAGGAGGTTTCAAGTGCTGGATCTAACCAAAACTTCAGATGCTGTTTCCAAAGGCCGCCTTTATTCATTTCTTGCTTTCCTGTATTACTCCTTTGATGTCCCAGGACTGTGTCCTTGTATTTTCACAGCACGGACCTAGTGAGATGGAGTGACGGCTGCCACGGGCTGTGCTCCCCCTGTCCCTGGCTTGCAGCATTGGGTAGACGGGGATAGCTGGGACCTTGGGTTTGTTTTGTCCTAAGCAAGCCCCTTCCCAAAGCCTGCTGCCCTCTGCCAGCACAGTTCATGATGGCCCCAGGAACAGAAAAATGGTCTCTGCAGCAGAGACCCCGAACTGGTTGTGTGAGTTCAGGGACACTTTGAAATTGTTTGGGGTGTAGAAGAGGTGGTAGTGCTTGCTTTCCCGCAATAGATGCATGTTCTGAGTTCTTCCTGCTTCTCTAGCATCCACCGGCCTGACTGAGGAGCAGAAGGAATTCCAAAAAGTTGCCCTTGATTTTGCTGCCAAGGAGATGGCTCCTCACATGGCTGAGTGGGATGAAAAGGTACGACAGCCTCAGAACGGTTGTACTGCTTGTTTTTTCCTCCCTTAGGATGTTACCATCCTGGGGTCTCATCTGAGGGGTTCCTGCAATAGCTCCTCGGTGCTGTAATGCCATCTGTAGAGATTTTCTTTGAAGCTGCTGCTGTAACTGGGGTGGGAAGGCATCAGAAATTCCTTGAAGCTTTCCTAGCCAGGCTATTCAATCATCTGAAACCTGAATTTACTCCTGAAGATGGTATGTATCTGTCTAGGTACCTGCCTCTTCTTTAACCCACCCAATTAACTTAAACACTGCAGGAGTTTGGGACCAGGCTTGGTAGCCCAGATGTACTGAAAGAGATTGAATATTGAAATTAAATTGATCATGAATATTCACTTGCGATGTCTCTGCCTGTCCCAATAGGAAATATTCCCTGTGGAAACAATGCGGAAGGCAGCCCAGCTAGGATTTGGTGGAATCTATGTGAAACCAGATGTTGGTGGCTCTGGATTGTCACGACTTGATACCTCCATAATCTTTGAAGCTTTATCAACGGGATGTACCAGCACCACTGCTTATATGAGCATCCACAAGTGAGTGTGTCTGCCGAGTGCTGGACGGTGTCATCCTGGCTGAAAAACACATTTTTTCTGTGGGCTCTAAATCCAGCTGGAGACAGCTCTTTTGGTGCTGCTTATTATTTAAAGTTGGGACCCCAAGTAGACATGTCCCTGTGAGGATCCCTCGACGGCAGTAAACAAATAGGCTACTAAAACTGAGATGCCACGAAGAAGTAATTTTAGCTTTGTGGCACACAAGATGGGATTAAGTTCTGGATTTTGTTCCCTGCTCTTCCACTTAAGCTGTCTATAGATAGTAACCTGCCTGGAAAACGCCTTTGTGCTTTGGTCGTACTGTAACAGAGCCCAGAGGCACCAGCTGATACTGGGGCCCAGTCCTGCTTGTACAGACATGTTCAGTGACAGGCTCACTTTGTACGGAAAGATGGAGTGATGATGCCTCCTTCTTCCACGTGCAGTTTTCCAAAGAGACAGTAGGGCTTAGTGCTGAGAGGAACGCCGAGACTTTTAAATAGGAATCTGCTGTTCTGCAAGGCAGCGAGTCTGTGGTGAATGGAGGGAGGTCTCCTTCCTCCCGGCTTCTGTGGCACCTAATTTTGTTCTGTTTTGAGATGGAGCAATATGGTTTCAAGACTCAGTGCTTTCAACTGAACCCCATGGAGCTTTGTTCTTCTGTTCAGCTGGGGATGTTCTTGTATGACTCACCTTCCTCCCAGGGCTGTGTTCACGTACTGTAATGCTGCTCCTTCTCTCCTGCTCCAGCATGTGCGTTTGGATGATCGACACCTTTGGCAACGAGGAACAGAGGCGCAGGTTCTGCCCATCACTCTGTAGCATGGAAAAATTTGCTTCTTACTGCCTGACTGAGCCAGGTGAGCATCCTCAACTGAGAAATCTCCCTTCCCTCACTCCTAACATGGTGTAACTGGATGTGAACATTGCATGGAGCTGGAGGTGAAAAGTTTCTTTTCATGTTCATTTGGGCAATCACTAGGATGTTGGGAAGGGGCAGATGGTGGTTGCTGAGATGCTCATGGTACAAACCTGAGTGTGGTTGGGTACGATCCCGGGGAGGTTTTGTAGGCTCTGGACCTGCTGCTTCACTGGCTGCTTCCTCACCTCTCAAACAGGGAGTGGAAGTGATGCAGCTTCCCTGCTGACCTCAGCTCAGAGGAAAGGGGACACCTACGTCCTGAATGGCTCCAAGGTACCTCTTTGCTTCTCCTAAAGCTGCTGGATGGGACTGCATGCACAAGGGGGCCTGGGTCTCACCATCTTTTCCATTTCCTACTGTTTCCTCATCTCTGTGTATTTTCCCAAGGTAGGATGTGCTCTGCAGAGCATTCACCAGAGCTTAGTACAGTTGGGCCCCTAAATACTTCCTGGCCTGGGGTCTTTTCCCCTCCATCTTTGTACCCCAGCTGCTGCCGCATGCTCAGGGTTAGCATGCAAAAGCCGCCCCTTTCTTCTTGTGCCCTTCTGCAGGCCTTCATCAGTGGGGGAGGTGACACCGATGTGTACGTGGTCATGTGTCGCACAGGGGGCCCAGGCCCCAAGGGCATCTCTTGCCTGGTACTGGAGAAGGGGACACCAGGACTCAGCTTTGGCAAGAAAGAGAAGAAGGTAAGAGGCTTGGTTTTTACTTCATGTGTGCTTGAGGGAAGTGCAGGACAGAGATGAGCTCATCTGTGCAAAGCATGAATGATCTCCTCTTGGATGGGATCAGAGTCCCAGCCTGGCGTGGTTTTTCCCAGCCAAGTCCAGCTTTGCTGAAGTTTGCCCAATACCTGTCCCTTTGGAAAGTGAAGGACTTTAATCTCAGGAACATCAGGTTTGTTGGATTTGTGCCTCTTCTCAAATACATGCATTCCAGTTTCCAACTCAGCACACCAAGGCCAAACCACGGAGACCACAGGCACTCTGCGGCAGCTTGGCAATGAGACCGAGGGGTTGAGAGTGGGCTGGGCAGTTCTCTGCTGGGAGCTGGAGGTGAGCTGCTCCTCAGGCAGTCTGGAAGGCACTCTGTTTTTTCCCAGGTGGGTTGGAATTCCCAGCCAACTCGAGCTGTGATCTTCGAGGACTGCGTTGTTCCTGTTGGGAACCGGCTGGGAGCTGAAGGGCAGGGCTTCAGCATTGCCATGAAGGGACTGAATGGAGGCAGGATAAATATTGGTAAGAAAGACAGCTGAGAGCCAAGGGAGGAGGGCTGGATCATCTTGTTGCTTGTCTGCATTACCTTCGTATTCACTCTGTGTCCTTGGCTTCTCCCACCAGCTTCATGTTCTTTAGGAGCTGCTCATGCCTCTGTTCTTCTGGCTCAGGAACATCTCACTGTCCGCAAACAGTTTGGAGAACCCCTAGCAAACAATCAGGTAACCTCCCCAGCAGACCTGCACTCCCAGAGCTGTTCTTTTTCTGATGCTGGCTGAACAAGCAGCCAGAGGTCCCATCATTCACTTCACAGGGTCTTCCCTGGAGAAGTCAGGAACATGCTTTTCCTGAGTAAGAAATTGTGTCAGGCCTGAGACCTGCCTGAAGGTAGTGGGGACGTGGTTCAGGACACAGGCCCCTCCAAAGATGCTGGCCTAATTTTTTTTTCTCCTGCTGCCTGCTGGCAGTACCTGCAGTTCAGGCTGGCGGAGATGGCGACGCGCCTGGTGGCAGCACGGCTCATGGTTCGCAATGCAGCATGGGCACTGCAGGAGGGACGGGAGGATGCGGCTGTGCTGTGCTCCATGGCCAAGCTCTTTGCTACTGATGAATGCTTTGCGGTAGGTTACTCGAACCTCAGTTGGCATTGTAATTGGAAGCTTGGAGAACCCTCTTGGTGCCCAGGATGTCAGAAAGAAGTTTGACACTGTAGTGACCCAGACCCAAGCATGTTCATTGAGCCAGAAGCCTCATTTCAGGACCAGAATGTTTTACAAGACAGAATTCTGCACCCTGTGGAAGCTGCAGAATTAGCCTCTCCACAGTTCAGGCGTCCTGGCCTCTAGTGCTTTCTACACTACTTTCTAGGGGACCAAATAGGGAGACAGGACAGGGAGCAGAGCATTTTCATTTTCTAAGGATAATATGCATGTTACAGGCTGATCACTCCTAGATAGCATGTGTCTTTCCTAGACCGTTGAAAAATAAAATGTTATCACAAAATGTCCCTGAAAAGACAAAGCAAGAAGGGAGAAAAAGAAAGGCAAAGGAAATCTGCACCTTGACACTTTCTAGATCTGTGTCATTTAGAAGCTACTCTCAGCACTCTGCATTTTTGCTATTTATTACGTTTTATGTCCCAAGTTGACAGATAATGACATATGGAGTCATGTTTCAGTAGAAACCAGAGCCCTGAGCAGTTTCCTCGCCTGACTGACCGCTAGATGGTGATCTGGTATTTTGCTTTTTGCATCAGTAGCACCATGGAAATGCAGTAAAAATTGCCTTAGATAAGTGTTTCCTGGGTATTTCTATGCTATCATGTTCACATAAATGCACTATTAATGTGAAATGGCACTTAGGTAACATGATAGCACTGAAAGCAGCACTGATGGGGACCGAGAGCACCTTGCCATCACACCACACTTTGTTAGGAGATGAGATTAGGTGACCAGACAAAAAAAAAACAAATCAAAGGAGCCCAGGTTCCTGGGTTCTTACCGAATTTCTGTCACCAGCTTGTCCTTGATACCACGCAAGTCACTTCACCAGCGATGTTATCTTCTTAGATCTGTAACCAGGCTCTACAGATGCATGGGGGCTACGGCTATCTGAAGGATTATGCTGTGCAGCAGTTTGTGCGAGACATCAGAGTCCACCAGATCCTGGAAGGTAAAAGACACTCTTATTACCAACGACTTGGCAGTGACACCAGGAGAAAACAGGCCCTCCAGAGGCCCCCACTTCCCACATGACCCTCTGACTCTTGGGTTTCAGAATCCTGTTTTGCTGTGAGCATGAGGTGTCCCTGGATGTCATGTGTGGGAATTCCCTGGCCAAGAGCTCTTGGTGTATTGGAGCAGTTACTGTGTATTTTAAGAGTCTTACAGCAGGGGGAGATAGCGAGTTGTCATATTAGCAGTGCCTCTGTCCAGTTGCATTCCATTACTCCTACAGACACACGCTGATGCTCCCCAAGAATTCCTTTCCCGCGATTCCAGTCTATCTTCACTCCTTGACAGTGTGTCTCTAACAGTGTCTGGCCTTTTCAATTCAGCCTCCAAACCATTTTGTTTTCCCTCCTTTGAAATCCCTTCACCTACAACCAGCGTAGCTGATAAGGGACATACTCTTTCCAATACCAAGTGGGTCTACAGTCTTTCTGGCTGTTTTGTGTATATGTTACATAGTAAAGCAGAGAACTTGGGTATTGGCATATATTCAGTTTTGCCTGATGCCTGGAGCCCTGTGAGGGCCTCTCAATACCTAAATATAAACAAGCATCAGCATCTACCACTTTGAAGCCTTTCCCAAGCGATGTGCTGGCACTTGGCAGTTGTATTTTGGCCCAACACCTCCCAAATGCCACCTCAATTGGTGGGAAGAGCTTTTCTGTGCTACAGATCAGGGAAGAATTATCTTTGCCTTTGTTGGGGGGCAGAATTGGACGATCTCCTGTCTTTCTTTTGCACCCTCACTCTGCTGCAGGTACCAATGAGGTGATGCGGATGATCGTGGCCAGGAACCTGCTACAGGGCTGAAGCCAGAAGCTAATCTCCAGCCTTAAACTGTCTGTTACGGCTTGGTCTGTTTTCTGTTTCCCTCCCCTGTTCACCATCTCTCTCTCTGGGAGTGGAGAGGGGGATACCCCAGTGGAAACAGTCTTTCTGCCTTATATTGACTGGGAGCACAGCTGGATGCCGCTCACATGCTGCCACAGCTGCACTCTGTGCCTGGCAGAGCTGCTGTTACTAGGCTAGTATTGTGCAGCCTGAAGATATAAATCACAGTTGTGAATACGAGCCTCTGTCTCCAAATCTTGATCATGGGCTGCTTGCCATCCATCCTTCTCAGAAACACTAGACCTGTTGGCCATCTCTGCTGAGTCAGGACTGAATCAGAAACTTCAGGCAGAGGTGCAGCCTAATCCCATAGGACTCTTTCTATCAATTAAATCTTTAGTTTGAGGGAACTAGTTATTCTGCTTAAAAACCTGTCCTCCTGGGTGCTAATTGCACCACTGGGAACAAGTTAGCCACAAGTACTGCAGCTCTAACCACTTGCAGAGTGCAGTGGCTTTTTAACTCGGGAGCAGGATGCCTCTCTTTTATCTAGAAGCACTCCTCTTTCTCTTTTCCCAGTACACCTTGTCCAACGTACCGACTGCTTGTTGTTCTCCCCGTTCCTGCCACATACTGGTGCTTTCTCTATCTCAAAGAAGCCTTTGCAGTACAGAGGTGTGAATCAAACTAAGGTCCTGCACAGACACATTTAACTCTGTTGCCTCAAATCGGTACTCCCTGCTGTATGCAATGGAGGGGGGAGTAAAAACGTTGGTAAATTCAACTATCTTTTTTCCCCTCAGATTTGGAATCAATAAAGCAATGATGGCAACTTCACTGAGAGCATCAGAAGTTGTGATATTTTTTTTTCTGTGGTATTTCAGGTATTTAACCAGAGGTCATTTTGAAGATGGGGGTTGCAGAAAACTTCAGCTTCTGAGGTTTTTTTTAGTTACACAGTCTCTGTTAACCTCTTCAGATGAACCAGCTCCTCTTTCCCCCTCAGCACACTCCTAGCACACGGCAGGGGAGGGAGATGACAGAGCATCAGCGGCCGACATAGGTGTTTTCCAACCTCAGGCTTTGCTACACGGCAAGAGGCTACGGTTAGCAGGCCCTTACCTCTCCTCCCTCGGTTTCCCGTACGCTCTGCAAAGGGAATTTCTCTCGCAGGGCGGTTCAAAGCGTGAGGACTCACGCCTCGGGCAGAAACGGCCCCGGAGCCGCCTCCCTTCTCCCCGGGGCGGCGGCCTGAGGGGACGGGCGGGCGGCGCCGGGCCTTTACCTCAGGGAGCACG